GGAAGGATAAGAACGCTGACCTGTATATCGCTTGCCCCGTAGTTCATTGTGTCACCCGTGTTCAATAAGAAGCTGCGATTGTGATTATAAAAATTTGTAACGCGTTACAAAAATGATTGATCAACGGTGAACACTTCATCATTGATCCGTCTATCCTATTTTGTAACTATAGCGCAGAACTAAGAGGTGCACCTCAGGAAACTTGCTCTTATAGTTGAATCTACAATAGCTTCCTTTGGTCTAGAAAGAAAAAACTGTGACTCGATCCGTTCAAAAGCGTTTTGCGTAGTTTTCTGGAATATCTTACTGGCAGAGAACGTTCTCTATGAAACACTCGCTGCATGCCATTTATTCGATGAGTGATTTCAAGAGCCTTTATATTCAGAAAAACCCTCCAACCAGATGACGATTGTGCTGATTTCGCATTTCTTCCGAGCTCATTTCACCCTACAAAGGATGACAGGCGAACTCCAAAACGCTCTCGAAATGCTCTTGAAAGAGGTAGAAATTTCTGTTTAGAACAAACATGCCTCAGCTTTTGGTTACTGGTGCTCTTTCTTTACGATTAGTTCATAGAAAAAGAACTCATCTGGGATTTCCAGGTGGTTCAAGGAAGAATATCGATCGAATGACAAGTTCTGCCAGGAAGGCTTCAGCCAAGTAAGTTGCTTTCTTTGTCGAGTAGTGACGCTAGTTCATCGACTGGTAAAGTACAAAAGGCAAGAATCTTTCTCATTTTCGGCACATACGTCGAAAAGTGCTTGGAGCTTTTCCCAAGGAATTCGAAATGCGGAAACTAGAGCATTCCCATGGGATTCGAAGGAATTTCGTTCCACAGAGAGTTCTGTGGTCGTTTAATGTGATTCCAGAGACACATTGCGCGATTCCCTAAGATGTGGAGCCCTCACCTTTTGTGATGAGCATAAGCCAGTATCTGTGTAGAGTATGCCACTCTCGCCTCCGAAAAAGCGAGTGAAGAGCTCTGGGGGCTTGCGATGACCGGTGCTGTTCACTCATGGCAACTAAAAACACTGCATGAGCTTGCAAGTCGCTATTCTCGCCTTTGTTGTGTGCGGCTTTCGCTCGAGTTTCTTTCCAGCTCTTTGAGCGCTATTGCGTCTCTATTTATCGCATGCTAAAAAGGGAGCTGAGCCTTATTTGGAGTGTTCTAACGGTTTATTCCCCTGTCCGTCACTGGCGAGACGACTAACAGCTGAAAATTCGTCTCTGAATATCACCAAACACGCATTGCAGTCGCGGAAGGTCCCTTCATTGTTACTGCCTTGTTCGCTGCGGATGATGAGGCGTGCTAAGCGGATGAATTTGGCGCGGTGCCAGCCCGTTTTGTGCTCTTTTTTTTCTATCGGCAAGCGATGGCACGGTATATCACCATTCGCAACAGTCCTTTCCCAACAACTGGTGGAAAGGGCTAGCGGCGCACCAAACCAAGCCTCACTGACACGCCCAGCGCAGCGAACAGGTCATATGGGCTCTCGTCATCGAATGATCGGAGTAGGATCATGGGAGACGTCTGTTTGAAATTTATCGTAAGGGAATAGCAAGAAACACGTCTTCTTGCTGAGAAGGAGAAAAGGTGGAATGGTAGTGGGTAATGGGCGGTCCTTTGAGAGTTCGCAAATGATTTAAACGATGGAGTATACCGCAGTTCGTCTGTGATGCCCTTATTGTATCAATTTTAGGAAAGTAGTACAACCGTCTGCATGTGAGATCGCCTTCCAAGTGCAAAACGACGGCATTC